GTGTGCGCTATTGCAATTATCGAAAAGTGTCGAAAATATGTAAAGAACAAACATTTTTTTGTGCAACAGAAATTTTTTTTAAAGTAGGGCAAGGAACTGTTTCTATGGTCATTTAAAGTTTTTTAACGAATCTGAATTAGATACTACAGCAAATTTCTTCAACAGTGAATTAACATAAATTATGTGAGGAGTTTCAAGAATTTTTTTTGCTAGGATAAAATTTTGCATCTCGAATATACGAGAAATCTGTTTTTGTATTTTTTTCGGGCGAAGTGTTTCTAAGAAAATTGTTACGTCTCAGTAACAATGGTAGTGTTGAAAAATGGTATCGTCATTCTAGCTACCAGATACCGTCGGATGTTTTCACCAGGTAAGGTTTGTATATTTTAGTTTTTGACAGCGCACATTTATCTCAATTGTCATCACAATCCTGATGCTAGAAGTTACCTTTTTTCACTTTTTTGAAGCATCTGTAGATAGTATTTTTATCTTGCTTTATTCATTTATCCTTGTTAAAGTATAATAAATTAACAGCAATAATCTGAGATATTGGACGGCTAGCGAAAAATCGAATAACACTGTTCACATCAGGGTAAAACTTTGCAGATTTTGACTGTTCTGTGAGGTATCTAACGTGCTTTTGTTTAATGAGAAAACTATACAAATTTTCCAAAATAAAAAACAAAACCAAATTGAATTAAGCAAATTCAAATGCGGTCTCGCAGATTTCTCTTTGAGTAAAGTTGAATTTGGACCAACTTATATATCGAGTCAAAATTCATTTCATATCGAATCCCGTTAAGGCACGGCAGCTGCGGCCAAAAATAGAATTGAATAAACGAGACTGCTTGTTTCAGGGCAAAGCCCTGAATGTTCCGACTGCCCTTTAAAGTAAATAATATCCGCAATATTTATTTTAGATTTGCGGTATTTGATTTTATTCCATAAATTTTTAACAAATTAGCGAATGTGTTTATTTCAATTTAGTGTTCATATTTTTCACCACAATGACAAGCTATTTAGAGCAAGTATATTGCCTTAACTCAATTTGGAAGGAAGTTATCCTAAATTGACCAAAATGGTAAGTGTCACACTCTCAAAAACTTTATGAAAAAAGATGTCGGGTGAAAAATTTGGTAGAGTCTGAGTTCGTGGATCAATATATTCCACATTGTATAAAACGGACACTTGAAAAATGAAGTTCAAATTAAAATTTGGTCGAATAAAATACCACACCAAGCATAAAAGTTCTGTCAAAATCTCCAAAAATTCGAAGAAAAGCGAACATGTTCGTCTAATTCAATTTCATATACTCGCCCAATACTAGATACTAGATAATTGACCAATCAAAATGGTAAAAAGGTGACCGATTTTTCATTTTGATACAGTTAAACGTTGCTACACAAATGGGAACTTCTGAAGATCACATTTGTCGCTCAGGAGAAAGTTATGAGCTAGTCTTGGCATCACATTAATTTTATACCGCTTTTTTATTTAAAAACTAATCGACAATTTTTCTGCGGTAGAAATACCTTGTCTGCATCTGAATCGTACGTGAATTTCTTACCCCTTCCCCCAGCCTTGTTGGTAAACTTCTGTAAAACGCATGTTTGTTTTTGATAATCGTTTACCGAAGCAACTAATCCATTGAAATGATCAATATCGGGTACAGTCAGGGGCGGATCTAGGATTTTTTCGAGGGGGGCGGATTTTCAAAAAATTTTTCGAAAATTTTGACGAACGACCTTTTTTTTTGGGTCGACCAAATTGATTTTCCGAGCTCTTCTAAAGCACTATAAAAGGTCCCTGTTTTGGCAGAATTTTCTGCGCCGCAGGCAAATTTTTGAAAAAACAGGTCAAAAAGCCGTGGAAAATTTTGAAAAATTTTGACAAAAAAATGGCGTTTTTTTGGCGCGCGCTCCCCCTCAAAGTTAGTATATATTAGCGCCAAAGGCGCCTTTAGAAAAATTTTAGGGTCGGTCGGCAAAAATGGATTTCTTAAAAAGTACCAAAGGGGGGACCCTTTGGGTCGGCAGGGGGTCGAATCCCTGAGGGGGGGGGAGCGTCCCCCCCCCACGCCCCCCTAAATCCACCCCTGGGTAGAGTTATTATGTCCGCTATTGCAATTATCAAAAAGTGTAAAAACAAAGAAATAAAAAAAAACATTTTACTGGTGCAACGGAAATTTTCAAAAAGTGGGCAAAAACATTTCTATAGTTTGCTTAAAATGAGTCTGGAACTAGAAATTGCATTAGTAACTTTTTGGAAGCATCTTTAGATAGTATTCTCAATTAGGTTTAACTTCAGGGAAAATATAACAAGATTCTATCAACAATAGCAATTCTTCTAATCACAGCCGCTTTTCTCGGAAATTGTTCAAGTAATTTGCACTATTTTTGTTCAATTATTTTATCCCTAGCAGTGCTGACTTTAAAAAGCGTATCTTCCTGTGTCACAACTGTTCACGAGATTTACGTGAGTGTCGTTCAAATTCACATAAACTCAAGGGGTTTCTCGACCAGCCATTTTTGGTAGAAATCTGACATCTGTCATCAAGACTCACCTTCATCCCTTCTTCCCACCAAATAACTGCGATAAAAACTTTTGCTAATTATGACGTTTTTTGTCGTACGTAACTTCGCTTTGATGCAAAACGCCCGCTCGATGCCCAAATCTCTCACAGGTTCCTAGTCGGATACATAAATTATCCAATGAGAAACGTTTACTTTTGGACTTAAAATGGCTGAAAAAGGTGCCGGATATCAAGCCGACCAAACTTCAAGCCAAACCGTAACATTAGGGACTTCATGCCAAACATTTTGTCACAAAGTCACGAAACATGGTTAATTTGAGAAAGACATCGAATAAACTCTCAGTTTCATGTGCTTTTTATAGCATTTACTGGCTGTTTCGTAAATTTAGAGTCGCCTAGTTGATGTATATGAATTACATGGAAAATTTAAAACATTGTTGAAGGTTTTTTTCATGTGATCAATTTATGCTCAAAATCTGGCTGATATAAATATCTGATGCCATTCCTTCCGGGGTCAGCAAATTGCATGAAAGGTCTATGACTAGTGATTTATCATATATGGAAATTGTATGAACAGCATTTTTCCATAAACCAAACATAACTGATTTTTTACTTTTTTGTTTCTCAAATATTTTGGTTGTGTTCGTAACCGAACACAAATGACAAAATCTTGGTTACTCAAATTAGAGTAAGCAAAGGTTTGACAGTCTCGCATTAAAAATGCATTTGAAGCAGCCTGAAATGTCTTAATTCTATCTTCCACAAACTTTAAAACGAAAGCCCGAGTTGACCTTCATAGACCAAAAATGCTAATCATACAATTCCATTAACTAATCTATGAAAAACACTGGTCTTACAAATTTCATATTTTTTGGGAAAATGGTGCCATTGAAATTTCGAAGAACATTTTTCTTGTTTTTGCATAAAATATGGTGTATCGTACTAAATAAAAAAGAAAAACTTTTTGTCAAAAAAATGCTAATCTTACAACTTCCATATATGGAAACTGTATGACTATTATTTTTTGATGGCGAGAAAAAAAATTTTTCCAAGTAGTTTTGAATTTGCCCCAAAATCTTTTTTTGCTTTTTTAACCGCAAATCGAGTTGTGTACTCAAACAAACATTTTTCAAAAAAATTTTTGCCTGCAAAATTTAATTTTTTGTGTGTATAACGTAGTCCTGGATACACTAATAATGAATTTTTTTTTCCTTTTTGCGTAATAATTCTTTCAATAACACTAAAAACGACTATTTTGTTTTATATGGCATGTTTATGCATGCATTGATTGATCATTTTCTCATAAATTAAAAATTCAATTTTTACAAGTATTCATCATTGAACATTTTCGCCAAAAATTTTTAAAGGTTTGATACTTTCCTTATATGATTTGTGTAAGACAGAGTTCCGGCATTTCAGGCCAAATCCAGAGAATTTTGAATGCGAGACGGTCACATCTTTAGTGGTTACTCTACTTTGAGTAACCATGGTATTGTCACTTCCCAAAAACTTTTTAAAAATTAAAACATAAAAAATCAAAATTTTTGGTTTATGGAAGAAAGCAAGTCATTCAATTTCCATATAAGAAAAATCATTAATCATAGACCTTTCATGTAATTTGCTGTACTTTGGAATTGCATGAAAGTGCATGATTAGCTTTTTTATATATGAAAATTGTATGATTCGCATTTTTGGTAAACCCGGGAGTGTCAAAATTTTAAAATTTGGCAAAAAGTTTCAATGATGATTGCTTTTAAAATTTGAATTTTAGAATAATTATCAAGCAAAAATGAAAAAATCCATTATTAGTGTATCCAGGAATACGCTATGCACACGAACAATTAAATTTTGCAAACAAAAAAAAATTTTGTGGTAGTTTCAAAATTACATGGAAAAGTTTTTCTTGCTGCCATCAAAAAAATACTAGTCATACAATTTGCATATATGGAAATTGTATGACTAGCATTCTTTTTTATTTTGTACGATACTCTATTTTATGCCAAAATAAGACTTAAGTTCTTCGAAAATTCAATTGCACCATTTTTGCAAATTGTATGAAAATTGTATGACTCGTATTTTTTATATACTTAGTTTATGGACTTTTATGATTAGCATTTTTGGTCTATGAATGTCAATCCGGGCTACGTCATAAATAACTCCTATTATGGACTAAATTTACCTAAAATTTTGAAAATTAACTTTTTACAGATGAAAATTGGCGTTTCGAGGTTTTAATCATGTTCGAAGCTCGGCTTGTTGTCCTAGACCCGGCTGAAAGTACTGATAAAGACATACATTTAATCACGAAAGCAAAATATCGCAAGTTTTGAATTTGAAAATTTATCAGATGTTTAAATATTGTGGTTGTACTTGCTGCAGTATGAGACAAGTTAAGGTAATTTGATTTGCAAATATATACTATAGATTTGCCCATGCAAACGTTAACTTTAATCAAAGTTGTACTTCTATGGCGCAGTTAAACGATGGTAGAGCGCGTTTGAAACAAGATGCGGAGAATTTCAACAAAATCAGACAGGAACTACAAGGCGATGCGTTGTACAATGTACTGGACGCTGATCTGAATGAGTTCCGCAACCAGAGAATCAATATCGCTATCATTGGTATGAAGAAACATGGAAAGAGCTCCCTGACGAACGCTTTGATCGGGAAGAACCCTCAAGATCAAGGGGCAGCAGAAGTTCGAGACTTCCTCACTGTAGAAAGAGAGCCGGATCCCTTCAGAATACCCAATAACGAATTGATGACTATTTGGGATATTTCCGGGAAACGAGAGGAAGATGATAAAACTTACATGGACAGAATTGGGAGCGATCGTTATAATTACGACATGTATCTTATTGTATTAAAAGAAGACTTTACTAAATCAGCAAAATCGATGATCTCTAGGATAATCGAATTGAAAAAGAAGTTTATGATTGTTCGAACTCATATAGACGTCAATGAACTAAACGCAGCAAACTACGGAGGAAACGCACAAGGTGCCACAGAAATAGTTCGTACAGCATTGCTTGAACAAATCAGAGCACACTTCCCAGAAAATTTGAACGAGATTCACTTATATCTTGTGAACAGTTATGACAGGGGAGGACATGATTTCGTAGCTCTTCAGCGGGACTTAATCAGATTTGCTCCGGCGGCTAAGCAAGAGGCTATGATTTATGCCATCAACGCTGCAGGGGAGGAATTAATTCAACAAAAGTATTGCAGATTACGCAAAAGGATTCCGACGGTATCTAGGAAAGCCGTTCTGAGTAGCAGTATTCCGATTGTTGATAGAGTGTTTTTTGATTCTCTTGAAGTTATAATTGCAGAAGAAATCATGCAATACCTGGATGTTTTTTGCATCTCCAAAACACAAGTTCACAGTTTCGAGCTAAGACACAACATGGGAGGTCTGGAGGATCTCATGAAACATCAGGCAAGTGGACTTACCGAAGAGATCCGCGAAAAAAGTGCAACCGCTCGAATCGATCCAACCGTGAATCGAGGAAATGTTGCAAGCCAGGCTGCAATTGGCGCTGGCGTAATTGCATGCGCAAGCCGTTCCTTGCCACCGGCGATCAGAGTTGCGTCTGGCTTTTTGGCAATTCTGGTTGCAGCTGTCTCTAGTAATTTCGTTTCCTCTCCCAAACTGGAACAAATTTTAACTGAATCTTTGGACCAATGCAAATTACTCGCGCTTGAAAAAGAGAAAGAGTACCAAAGAGCTAAGCGAGGTGCAAATCACAACTATGTAGATGTTTAGCATCATGAACTTGCGATGTTTCTCAGCCCTTAACTAGATTTAGTTTAACTGATATAGTTGTATATTATTATTTTGGAAACAGATTACAGCTAATGCTCATTCCACTAATTCGCTTATACGGCTTTTTCCTTCAATTAACGGGCTCTGGGTTTTAGTTTTGAAAAAGCGTTGCTCAAATAAAAATTTCCCTACCAACAATTTTGAGAAGGATCGCTCAACGTCGCAAACTTTCAAGTGGTACACAAACAATTTCAGTTAGGCTTGTATCTTTTTCCAATTTCCAATCACATGGTTTAATGGTTCATGCATTTGCCACAATGGTGAAATTTTACTATCAGCAAGATTGCGAAGTCCATGCATGGCAATAAATTTGAATCATTTTTGGAAACATGTGTCTCAGAGAATCAGCGTATCCCGGGTTGAGCTCACATTGAAAATTAGCGATAAAAAATGAAAGAAAACATCGATCGCCATCGATGAATTATCAATGTTCATTGCCACAATAGGAAATTTTATCGATGGATTATCGCTAATTCAGCGCTGGAAAAATTATCAATTTCTTATCGATGAAACAGCAATAAATCATGGATGATGTAAAATGTTTATAACGCTCTGAACTTTGGTTGAAAATTGAATTAAATACGGAAATAAAAACTAAATTAAACAAGATTGCTCGTATCAGGGCGAAGCCCTGAATGTTCCGACTGCCTTTTAAGGTATTATGGAGCAGTAATAACATTAAAAAGAAAATGTATTAAAATAAAATGAAAAATTTTTTTTCTAAAATTTGAATTTTTTAAATGAAAATCATCCCCCCACACGCCATATAAAGTACAAAAGGATAGACTTCAATCCTTGTAACAAATCAATTATGGCAAATAAGCTTCGTTCAACCAATTTGGAACGATTTCTAAGACGGATTAAATCTCCGCTTACGCGTTAATTGCGCGAATTATATCGCGCGTTAATTGTCTCAAATTGGTCAAAATGGCCAAAATGGCAATATTTAAACCCGCATAGCTTTACGAAAAATGATCACAGGTGAAATATCTTTTCAAAATTAAGCTCAGGACAACAATGCTTTTTGAATGATATAAAAAAATTCCGTCAAAAATGGCTAGTTAAAAAGTCGAAATTTGTCTGAAGAAAAAAAAACCCACCCCGAGCACAAATATTCCGTTACTTTCGTACCGAAAGTCGGAACAACTAGACTTCACAAATGTACAATTAAAAATTCAATAAAGCGAATGATTGGCTGAATGCATAGCTAAGTAATTGAAATTATCCAAGTTTTATGATTCAACTTGAAGCAAAAAAGACGTCATTTGCTCAACGCCGAGTGAGTTCTGATTCTTCAAGTAACAGTAGTCCGAAAATTTGGAATATTTCGATTCTCCGAAAACAGTCCTCGGCAGATTCGCAGTCGATAGCATAGTTTGCTCAACAAAGTGTTACACCTGAAATAAAAACTCAAACGACTATTTTAACTCAAAACAAGACACGTGACAAAACTTTTTTTTCAAAACGAAAATTTGAAGAAAAAAAATTCGATTGGAGTTTAATGTAATTATAATGGCTATTTTTATTTTTGAAATAAAAACTCAAATCCGCAACAGATGAAAATTCGGAAAATTAGTCGCGGCGGTTAAAAAAATAAGTCGCAGTGGTCTAAAAATTTATTGCAGTATGGTTGAAAAGATAGCCGCGGCAGTCAAAAAAATCGTCGCGGCATGGTCGAAAAATTAGCCGCGGCGGTCAAAAAAATAGTCGCGGCGTCGAAAAAAATGGTCGCAGCTAGATCAAAAAATTAGTCGAAGCGGTCAAAAAAATAGTCGCGGCGAACAAAAATTAATCGCGGCGGTCAAAAAATTTGACGCATGATGGTCGAAAAATTAGGCGTGGCGGTCAAAAAACTCGTCGCGGTGGTCAAAACATTCGTCGTGGCATGGTCAAAAAAAATAGTCGGCGCGGTCAAAAAATTAGTCGCGGCGTTCGATAAATTAAAAAAATTCGTCGCGGCGGTCAAAACATTCGTCGTGGCATGGTCAAAAAAATAGTCGGCGCCGTCAAAAAATTATTCGCGGCGGACAAAAAAATTGACGCAGGATGGTCAAAAAAATAGTCGCGGCTGTCAAAAAAAATTGTCGGGGCATGGTAAAAAAATTAGTCGGAGCGGTCACAAATTAGTCGCGGCGGACAAAAAAATTGTCACGGCGGTCAAAAATTTGACACGGGATGGTCAAAAAATTAGGCGCGGCAGTCGAAAATTTCGTCGCGGCAGTTGGAACATTAATCGCGGCGGAAAAAAAATTCGTCGCGTCAGTCAAAAAAATAGTTGCGGTATGGTCCTCAAATAAGTCGCAACGGTCAAATAATTCGTCACGGCGGTCGACAAATTAGTCGCGGTGGTCAAATCAGCAACAGAAAAAAATTCGAAAAATTAGTCGCGGCATTCAAACAATTAGTCGCGGCGGTTAAAAAAATAAGTCGCAGTGATCGAAAAATTACAAAACTCTGGGAGTTCGAAATTTGCTAATATGATCTGATCTTCCTCAGGATCTTATTATGCACGAAGTAAAGAATATGTTTTTGATTCTGAAAGCGTAACGGAGTTGCTCATGTGTGTCAATAAATTTCGCTTTGCAAACTTGTTGCTAATTTTGCGGCGGTCAAAAACTTTGACGCGGGGTAGTCGAAAAATTATCCGCGGCGTTCAAAAAAATCGTCGCGGCAGTCAAAAAATTAGTTGCGGTATTGTCCACAAATAAGTCGCAGCGTTCAAAAAAATCCTCACGGTGGTCGACAAATTAGTCGCGGCGGTCAAATCGGCAACAGATAAAAATTCGAAAAATTAGTCGCGGCGTTCAAAAAATTGCAAGGATGAAAAATTAGTCGCATCGGTCAAGAAATTTGCCGCCGCATGATCAAAAAAAAGTCGTGGCGGATGAGAAACTAGCCGTGTCAGTCAAGAAAGTAGACGCGGCGTTCCAAAAAAAAAACACGTCAGAGCAAGGTCAAAAAGTTGTATTAGGCGGTCAAAAAATTAGTCGCGGCGGTCAAAAAATGAGTTGCGGCCTTGAGAAAACTTGACGCCGGGTGGTCAAAAAATTAGGCACGGTGGTCAAAAACTCGTCGCGGCAGTTGAGACATTAGCCACGGCGGTCAAAAAACTCGTAAAAAATTGTCGGGGCATGATCGAAAAATTAGTCACAGTGGTCGAAAAAAAATCGCGGCAGACAAAAAAATCGTCACGGCATGGTCGAAAAATTAGTCGCAGCGGTCAAAAAAATAGTCGCGGCGGACAAAAAAATCGTCGCAGCGGTCAAACAATTCGTCGCGCCTTGGTCAAAAAACTAGCCGCGGCGGTCAAAAAAATAGTCGCGGCTGTCAACAAAATCGTCGCGGCATGGTCAAAAAAGTAGTCGCGGTGGACACAAACTCGTCGCGGCAGTTGAGACAATAGCCACGGCGGTCAAAAAACTCGTAAAAAATTGTCGGGGCATGATCGAAAAATTAGTCACAATGGTCGAAATAAAAGTCGCGGCAGTCAAAAAAATCGTCACGGCATGGTCGAAAAATAAGTCGCAGCGGTCAAAAAAATAGTCGAGGCGGACAAAAAAATCGTCGCAGCGGTGAAACAATTCGTCGCGCCTTGGTCGAAAAATTAGCCGCGGCGGTCAAAAAAATAGTCGCGGCTGTCAACAAAATCGTCGCGGCATGGTCAAAAAAGTAGTCGCGGCGGACAAAAAAAATAGTCGCGGCGGTCAAAAAATTCGTCGCGGTGGTCAAAATTTTTGTCGTGGCATGGTCAAAAAAATAGTCGCCGCGGTCAAAAAATAGTCGCGGTGGTCGATAAATTAAAAAAACTCGTCGCGGTGGTCAAAACATTTGTCGTGGCATAGTCAAAAAAATAATCGGCGGCGTCAAAAATTTTTTCGCGGCGGACAAAAAACGTCACGGCGGTCAAAAAAATTGATGCAGGATGGTCAAAAAATTAGTCGGAGCGGTCAAAAATTAGTCGCAGCCGACAAAAAAATTGTCACGGCGGTCAAAAAATTTGACGCGGGATGGTCAAAAAATTAGGCGCGGCGGTCGAAAATTTCGTCGCGGCAGTTGGAACATTAATCGCGGCGGAAAAAAATTAGTCGCGTCACTCAAAAAAATAGTTGGGGTATGGTCCACAAATTAGTCGCAACGGTCAAAGCAATCCTCACGGTGGTCGACAAATTAGTCGGGGTGGTCAATTCGGCAACAGATAAAAATTCGAAAAATTAGTCGCGGCGTTCAAAAAATTGCCGCGCCATGGATGAAAAATTAGTCGCATCGGTCAAAAAATTCGCCGCGGAATGATAAAAAAAATAGTCGCGGCGGTTGAGAAACTAGCCGTGTCAGTCAAGAAAGTAGACGCGGCGGTCCAAAAAAAACACGTCAGAGCAAGGTCAAAAAGTTGTATTAGGCGGTCAAAAAATTAGTCGTGTCGGTCAAAAAATGAGTTGCGGCCGTCAGAAAACTTGACGCCGGGTGGTCAAAAAATTAGGCACGATGGTCAAAAACTCGTCGCGGCACCTGAGACATTAGCCACGGCGGTCAAAAAATTCGTAAAAAATTGTCGGGGCATGATCGAAAAATTAGTCACAGTGGTCGAAAAAAAAGTCACAGCAGACAAAAAAATCGTCACGGCATGGTCGAAAAATTAGTCGCAACGGTCAAAAAAATAGTCGCGGCGGACAAAAAACTCGTCGCAGCGGTCAAACAATTCGTCGCGCCTTGGTCGAAAAATTAGCCGCGGCGGTCAAAAAAATAGTCGCGGCTGTCAACAAAATCGTCGCGGCATGGTCAAAAAAGTAGTCGCGGCGGACAAAAAAAATAGTCGCGGCGGTCAAAAAATTCGTCGCGGTGGTCAAAATTTTTGTCGTGGCATGGTCAAAAAAATAGTCGCCGCGGTCAAAAAATAGTCGCGGTGGTCGATAAATTAAAAAAACTCGTCGCGGTGGTCAAAA